ATCTGCAACTATCGGCCATGTAAAACAGTCGGTATAGTGTACAATTGGATATCAGAATATTCAATACTTAAACAAATTTGAAGCAAAACAAAAAATTCATTAAAAAGAAGCCGGTCATCAAAGACCGGCAAAATATTCAGAGCCCCGGCCCCCTGGCCGGGTAAATACAAAACAAACGACACGCATGCCGTGACAAGAAGACATAAAGCTTAAGAAGGGGGAAGATCTTCAATATTAGCAGCTGCCGCCTGGTCAGCACTCTTCTTGCTGGACTCGGCTTCAGCTGCATCCTTCTTTGATGCATTACCCCCAAGCGGCACAAGCGCCACTACCGGCTGCTCCTCCTCCTCCAACGCTTCCTCCAACGCCTCTTCCTCAGCAGCCGCCAGGATCTCTTGATTATATGTATCAAAACACTGGCGGTACGTTTTTTCCCATGAGGCAAAGTCGGCATTAGGGAAGAGGCGGCCCCAAGTCATGCGCTGGATTTGAGCAGAGTCTTCCATCATCTCCCGGACCAGCTCTTTCTTTTCTTGCTCGGCCTTTTCCGAGAGCTCCTGAGTAAGACTCTTCTCCTGGGTCACCAGGCGTACCTTTACGCTCGCCAAGGATTTCTCCAAGGTTTCGTATGAGGACATCTTTTGGCGAAGAGGTCTCAGCTCGGCCTTGAGGCTGTTGATGGTCGCCTCCAGCTCGCTATTCCTCTTCTGGGCCGCCTCTAACTGAGCCCGGATAGCGGCGGTAGCCTGCGCCTGATAATAAAGAATATCAATGGTCAGAACTTCATTTTGGGCAATTTGAAACATTGCCTTATCACAGTCAGAGGCGACCATAGCTTTTGCAGCCTTTACCTCTTTGTTCTTCCGGTCAAGCGGCTTGCGAAGGCCGTTCACTCGGAGCAGGGCCTAAGTAAAAAGGGGAACAGGCGTCAGTTTCCAAACAAAAAAGAAAACAGGCGTCCTGGAATTCAAATACTCAAAAATATGCTAAGTATACCTCAGCAAGGACCCCTGCAATCCCGTCTAGGTCAAGGGTGCCGACACCCCTGACCGCCTCTCTTTCAGCTGGAGGAACGGCCTTGATCATAGACTTGGCCACCTCGACCAAGTCAGGCTCCTGAGGGCCGGCTGCATCAAGCATAAACAAACGGATTAGACCTAGTAAAAAGGGAGCAAGTCTAAAATTTACAAGGACAACTTCATACTTCTAGGCAGCCCAGCTGGAGTTTTAGAAGAAGTGGCCGGCTGTTTCTCAGCCGCCGCATGTTTCCTGGAAGAACCAGGAGAGCTCGCAACAATCGTCCTCCGGGCCTTGGGGTCCGGCTGTTGGGAAGAAGAAGCTCTTGGAGCGCCCGTCTAAAAAAGAAGAAGTCAGTATATGCATAAACACAACTCCAAAAAGAGGGTGAAAGGTTCGAAGCCCACCAAGGGTGCCCCCTTGTTGGGGGAGTCGGTTGAAGACTGTTGCATGATGGAGGCCCGCAACATGGCCGCCGCAGTCTTGGAGGCGGTAATTTTGCTCATAGCGTCCGCTGCAAAAACAAATAGCAAAGTTAATAAATCATAACAAGAAATGCATGGAACAACAGAGTATTCGACAGGCCGGCTACCTCTTGAGCACCGACTGCTGAGGCCACAGGCGGCCAAAAAGTACTCGTCGTAGAGCCATTTGAAGCTCGGGACGCAGTGTAGGGGTACTTGCTCTCGTACCCCTGAAGTAGAGTTCACCTTCGCCTCTACTTTGAAGAGTCCTTTATCTAGGATCTCTTTCTTAGCCTTGGGGGGAACAGGCGGCATGCTGCGGCCGCCTGCAAGAAGGGGCGGATTCCTGTTCCACCTGTTGAAGCGCTTGTTCAGCTCTGTGTCTGAACTCTCAATGATGAGGAAGGTGCTCCGCCAGTCCTTCCATTTGTTTGCTTTACCTCTCGTCATGAGGTAGCCCCTGTGGCTCGTCAATTGATACCAGCCGGTACCGCCTGCCTTAGGGGTCCGGCTGAGGTAGTTCATGTGGGCGAAAGCCTCGAAGCTCGGCTCCACCCCATGCAGTTCGCACCCGGCCACATAGCCGAGTACGTTGACCCAGGAGTTCGGGGCTAACTGCCATAACCCCAACTCATACCCATCCAAGATCCGCTGAATAGCCGGATGTAGTGGGAAGCGCAGCCCAGCCTTGATGGCCGCCTCGTAGCAGCCAAAGCAGGCGCTATCATAACTGGTACCAGCCGGCCAGACGACTGTGTCTTCTGGATCCGGCACAAACACTAAAAAGCCGGGGCCCATTGTGTGGTTTGCGATAAAGCTCTCCACTTTCTCTTGCATGGCTGTGATCCGGCCCCGAGGTACCGTGCAGTAGTAGGGGGTATTTTGCTCTCGGTGAGAGGCGGATGGCTCCGCCCAATCGTCCCCCTTCTCAACTGCGTGAGAAAGCCTCGCCTCTTGCAGGCGACTGTTTTTCTCTTCTGTGTCCAGGGAAGCATGGCCAGAAGAGCTAGACTCGGAATCGTCCTCTGACGAGTCCGAAGAGGACGACTCCTCCCCTCTCCCGGAGGGGCCCACCTCCTCTCCTTTAAAAGGAGCAGGAGAGAATGAAGAATTGTCAACTGTAAAATGGGAAGGGGTCACTTCGACTCCTCCCTCAGAACTGCCGGCTTTCAAGCCGCTTTGTTTCACCTCCACATCTGGCGCCTGGTCAGATGTTTCACTAATCGGCACCCTGTGGGAGGAGCCGTCTGAGTTTGAGATCCTGGCAGTCTTTTTTGTTCTGGCCATCATGCTCTGCATAGACACAGATACAGTCGGACTTTGTATAAAGGACAAAGATGGGTCCGGAAAAGGGCAGGCGGCACTCCTAGTCCTAGATTCAGCCGTCCCCGGTGACCGGCTGATCACTAACCTAGGTCGTGTCGTGTGCTTCCGCGGTGCCATTTCAAAAAAGAATAAAGTAAAGAGAAAATTAAGAGTAAGAGAACCGACGGTTACCTGAACGAGTGACGTTGATGGAGTTCTGAAAATCCTGTGCAGTCGGCTTGTCAGAGCAGGCGGTAGGCAGAAAGTGTCCAAAATGTCAGAGCAAGTTCAGGGGTCCGAATGTTCTCTCACAAAGTTCTCAAGTGTGAAAATGACTGAAGTCAACACTCCCTTATATAGGCGAAGTGAGAAGGCGAAGGGTCACTTCCAGAATTCATAATTTGGGCGGGAGAATCTCTCGGCCTTTCGCCGAGTGACACCTGTAGCAGGCCGTCGCCTGTTACAGTGCGACACCTGTCACAGGTAACACGTGACCAGTCACGTGCCACCTGTGAGGGGCAAATGATTAGGGGATTTTGCTCCCACCAATCGGAATGCGCCACATGGGCCAATCAGGTTCTGCCAAGTGTCCCCCAGTTGGAACTGTCAGGGCTTGCCACGTGGCACACGCTTATTCGTCCACCTTGGACCTATTATGTCATGACACGTGGCATACTCCATGCCTAATGGAGAAACCGGCCACCCAGGCCCAACTTCCGAGGGAAGCCCAATCAGCCCTAGGTTAACCTAAACCTAGGATTGGCACGTTTCCCAAGGTTATAAATACCTCCCTTAATCCTCATTAAGGGAGATTACATGAATTACAGGCTGATCACGCTAAAAAAAGCAGATTACCTACATTAAACACTCTCACCTAGAGAGACCCAATCACTTTAATTTCCGCATTAATTACTCCTTAAACAAGTACTAACTTGATCGTTGGAGGCGGAGCTCCCACCACAAGGAGTCTCCGTTGTTTTGCAGGTACAGGCGTCCGGTTCCAGTCTCGGAATTGTAACTCTCCCGCAGGACATCAGAAAACCCCGAAACACTTTTCACTTTATTAATGTAGTTCACCTACTTTCTCCTCCTATTTCTTAAATACCGTGACAAAACACAAACATGAACTATGTTTTGGGACGAAGGGAGTACTTTAGAAAAATTATAATTTTGTGGCTACTTATTGAAATCATATTATTGTAAAATTGTAAATATTCAATTGGTACTCTCTCCGTTTCATAATGTTAGTCCCATATAGAATCAATCACATAAAATAAGAAAAGAAATATATTTGGAATCTAATATTAAAGTACAACATAATTCATGATTATTTTATCTTATTTTACTTTTTAAATTTTTTATTAGGAAAGCACAAGTCATAATTGCATAATTTAAGGTAAAGATTTCCTTACTTAGAGTTATGTCATCAATTCACAACTTATTAATTAAAAAAAAATCAAGTTATAAATAAAATATATTCAATATGGGTATATCTTTTTGAAACGCCCAAAATAGTATATGGGACTAATATTGTGAAACGGAGGGAGTATTATTTTTACTAATTGATAATTAATAAAAATATTATTGATCAAAGGTTTTGTATTGATATATGTTTCTAAGAGTACTATTTAGCATTATTATAAGTCATTCTACTGCGTCCGAATCACTTGGGTCAACTTGAATTTTATTGTGAATGCAATCATTTGAATTTTAGTCGTAGATGATTTTTCGCGGTACCAATTTATCATAGAAAGTATAATTATTTTTCCTTGGTCGTATTTTTCCTTGGTCGTATTAATTGTGGTTTTAGCTTCAGTTTATTTTTGGATTTCATAATTATAGAAATAAATTTAATTTGCATACATTAATTCTAATTTCCCACGATATATTGCACTAAGTTAGCGCCTTAACGAAAACTAAATTAATAATTCTCTCCATATGTGGACAGTAAAATCCCAAAAATTCAGTTTTTATGTTTTTTTCAACGAAACAACTCCATAGTTTCCTCCTACCGTCAACTAAATAAACATTATTTACATATATAGTGTTATATTATTCCCTTTAGAATCGGATCATAAACCATGTCATCATTCAAATACTACTCTTTTTTTTTTCAACAAAGATAACATAACATAAGTTTTGTCACTCCTATTTTGCTTTTGTTTCTTTATATTTTATATTTTCATAAACAACAATTCAACGAGTTTTCATAAGATGGAGAAATACTTGAGGGAAAACTTTGACGTTGATCCGAAGAGACCTTCGGAAGAAACATTGAGGAGATGGAGATCAGCTGTTTGGCTCGTTAAAAATCCTCGCCGTCGGTTTCGTATGGTGGCCGATCTTGCTAAGCGCCAAGAAGCTGCCCGTAAAAGACTCAAACTTCAGGTTATCATCTCTTCTTATTATTCTTTTTCAACATATTCATCACTTTTCTTAGCGAATAATTTTTTTTTCCCTCGCTTGTTTCATTATCCTTAAATTCCTAGGTGTTTTTTTTTTTTTTTTAATTTGATTTGCATTCGTATGAAAATAATCATGGATACATTTTGCACCTGAATGTATATAAGAATCTCTCGTATTTTCGTTATGCATGCATGTGCAAACACTCAAAAAACTTGAATTATTTTCGACATTCCAATTTTTATTTTTATGGTAATGTCGAGCAATTTGAGGCGCGGTATAATCATGAATTTAAATATATTTTTTGAATTTAATTTTAATTTTACAGATTTATAATTAAAAATTTCAAATTCGTATTCGTAATTGTGCATCAAAATGTAGATCTTAAAGCAACAAATTGACAATTGTTGTTACAACTTACAAAGAATCTAAACAGTACGAGTACACGACTACTAAAATGGTGTTTATAGTAATAACAAAATGTAACGTGGAAAAGTCTTCAATTAGGTATTTAAAGGGTATGAATTAATTACAATTTACAACTAACAAAGTCATTGGTAGAACAAGAAGTGGAAAAGTATGGTTGCATTTTTATGAGTGACTTGTCAATTAAGGTGTGGAAGTTGAAGCATCTAGCTTAGGAATAGTTAAATGTCACGCAGGCAACTCAGAAAGTGTACATGATGCATAATGCACTTTTTTTTTTTTTTTTTTTTTTTTTTTAAAAAAAAAAAAAAAAAAAAAAAGATATTTTAGTTTTTAGTAAATTAGACCTAGAATGACACATTTTAAAGCAAATGGGCATGACAGGAAAACGGAGGGAGTACGTACTTTAAAATTGAGATTTACTCCGTATAGTATTTGACATTCATTTTATATTCCTTATGTTTTAAACCAACTTTAAAATATACTCACTCCGTCCCTAAAGGCCTAAATTACATTCCTTTTTCTCTCTATTATGTGAGGAATAAATGCTAGAAAGATGAATGTAATTTAGGGACGGAGGGAGTAACTTTTTCCGTTTTGTGATATTTATCACTCATATTTTGTCCGATAGTTTAAGGATGCTGTGTGGAGATCCTAAAATAAGTTGTTTAATGTATGTAACTTTAACATAGACACATAGTAGCTCATTTATAATGTGTGAAAGTGAGACTCGCGAGCAAGGGGAAAATAATTATTGGGTTATGCTATGGTAGTTAGTAGTTCATTAATATCCAAAAAAGAAATGTGTCAATTATTCTTAAACGACTAGAAAAAGTGTGTGAGTTATTTTGAAATAGAGTTCATGAACACCAAATGAATGTTTCCACGTGATTATTTGAATTCTTTGAGCATAGTCAAGTGATGTTATATTAGACGTTTTGTATGTTTTCCATTTGTTGACATACTGTATTTTCATTGACTAAGCCAGATCCCTAAGGAGGATGTTTTTTGTTATATAATTAATTTCTGAACTTATTAGCCCTTATTGAACTTCGTTGATATAAAATGGACTGAATCGGGCTCAAGATGATACTTTTGATAGATGTCTTGCATAACCTGTACGAAAATTATGTAAAAAATGCATTTCTTAGGCTTCCAATGTATATGTTTTCTGTTCATTCAAAGTAAATTTGTCAAAATGTCTAGTAACTTTTATTCATTAGAGTAACTTGTTTAATTTGTTATTTTTTCTGTTATGATCTTCCAGGAAAAAATGCGAGTTGCTTTGTATGTACAGAAAGCTGCTCTACATTTCATGGACGGTACAACAGCTAACTACTTGTGCTATGTGTAAAGATTCATGTGTACAATTTACGTCGATTTTCTTTTATCTGTTAGCCTCATTATCTGTTCAATTCCTTTGTTATGTGCAGCTGGCAGGAAAGATGAATTCACTGTGTCAGAAGAAGCAAAACAGGCAGGATATGAAATTCATGCAGACGAGCTAGCATCAATTGTTCGCGGTCATAAAATACAAGACCTTAAAGCTCATGGTGGAGTGGAAGGGATAGCAGAGAAGATTTCAGCGTCTTTTAAAAATGGAGTTAGCTCAAATGAAACAGAACAACGCGAAAACATCTTTGGTGCTAATCGATTTATTGAGAAGCCTGCAAGATCTTTCTGGAGCTTTGTTTGGGATGCTTTGCAAGATTTGACCTTAATCATTCTACTGGTATGTGCTGCTGTTTCTGTAGGAGTCGGCTTAGCAACAGAAGGGTGGCCGAAAGGTATGTATGATGGTACAGGAATTATACTCAGTATCGTGTTGGTTGTTATGGTGACTGCTATTAGTGATTATAAGCAATCGTTACAGTTCAAAGACTTGGACAAAGAAAAGAAAAACATTAAGGTACATGCTACAAGAGATGGAAAAAGGAAACAGATTTCGATTCATGATTTGGTTGTTGGAGATGTGGTTGTTTTGTCAGTAGGAGATCAAGTTCCTGCAGATGGACTGTTTATCTCTGGCTATAACTTGTCGATTGATGAATCGAGCTTATCAGGTGAGAGTGATCCAGTTCATGTAACGAAAGAGAAACCTTTTCTTCTGTCAGGTACTAAAGTACAAGATGGTTCAGCTAAAATGCTGGTGACTGCTGTTGGTATGAGGACTGAGTGGGGGTCTTTGATGGAAACACTCAACGACGGAGATGAAGAAGAGACACCCTTACAAGTTAAGTTAAATGGGGTAGCAACTATTATTGGTAAAATTGGTTTAGGATTTGCTGTAGTTACATTTTTGGTTTTGGTAGGGCGGTTTACAGTGGAGAAATCGTTGCAAAACGAGATGAGTAATTGGTCCTCAAAGGATGCTTTGAAATTACTAGACTACTTTGCAACTGCTGTTACCATAATAGTTGTTGCAGTTCCTGAGGGACTGCCATTAGCTGTAACTTTGAGTCTTGCATTTGCGATGAAGAAACTGATGAACGACAGGGCGCTTGTCAGACATCTCTCAGCCTGTGAAACAATGGGTTCTGCAAGCTGCATCTGTACTGACAAAACAGGAACTTTAACTACTAATCATATGGAGGTTACTAAACTATGGGTACAAGGACAAGTTATGGACATCTTCTACACAAGTGGCGATGCTGTAGAATCCTTGGTAGGTAGTAGGGCATTTGATATACTTCTACAAGCCATATTTCTTAATTCAACCTCTGAAATTGTTAGAGGGGTGGCAGGGACAATGCCAAAGGTATTAGGAACTCCAACCGAAAGAGCAATCTTAGATTTTGGTTTGATACTTAGATCCAAATTTGCTACCTTCCAAGAGGATTACAAGATACTTAAGATGGAGCCATTTAATTCTGTTAAGAAAAAGATGTCGGTTCTTGCAGCTCTACCTTCAGGTGGTGTTCGAGCCTTTACCAAAGGCGCGTCAGAAATCATACTTGATATGTGTGACAAGCTTTTGGATCCTAATGGGAAACCATTACCACTGTCTAAAGTTATGAGACAGAATATTACTAATGTTATAAACAACTTTGCTTCGGGTGCACTAAGAACTATATGCATTGCTTACAAAGATATGGAGGAAAATTCAAGTGAGGATAGCAACATACCTGAAGAGAACTATACATTGATCGCAGTCGTTGGGATAAAGGATCCACTACGTCCAGGAGTTAAGGAAGCCGTTCAAACTTGTTTAGATGCCGGGATTACTGTAAGGATGGTTACAGGGGATAACATTAACACTGCTAAAGCCATAGCAAGAGAATGTGGGATCTTAACTAGTGATGGTTTAGCTATTGAAGGGCCTGAATTTCGCAATATGACCCCCAAGGAGATGCAAGATATTATTCCAAAGTTGCAGGTACGAGTATATATATAGCAAATTAATGATCAATCTAACATTTGTTATCCTATCACTTATAAACTCAGGGTGGTCTTGCTACACACGTACTTTAAGGCCTTGTTCTCGTAACCTTATAAAATACAGAAAAGTTTAGATTCACAATACAGAATTTACATTATGTTACTTTTCAGGTTATGGCTCGTTCAATGCCACTGGACAAACACACACTAGTCACCCAATTGAGGCAGAACAGAGAAATTGTGGCAGTAACCGGGGATGGGACTAACGATGCCCCGGCTTTGCATGAAGCAGATATTGGAATTGCCATGGGAATTGCAGGAACTGAGGTTGTTTCACAACTTTTCCTCCATATCTTTAAACAGAACATTTAAATGTTAAAACTTTGATTTATTATATTGTTATACTGTTATCTTTTCTTATCCCATTTTCATACAGGTTGCCAAAGAAAATGCTGATGTTGTAATAATGGATGACAACTTTGCAACCATACTAAAGGTTGCTTGCTGGGGTCGTTCTGTTTATGTAAATATTCAGAAGTTTGTACAGTTTCAATTAACAGTTAACATAGTTGCTCTAGTTACAAACTTTGCTTCTGCTTGCATTACAGGTTCGTTTAACATCTATATTTTATTTCTATTTAAGAAGAAATTAATAAAGCTCAGTTAGGCTACCTATTTATATTTATATCTAGTTAAAATAACCAATTTCAATTTCACGAAATCATCAGAAATGTTTATTTTTGTATACTAAGTCTAAATGTTGCGAATGCTGCAGGTTCTGCTCCTCTTACAGCAGTTCAGTTGCTTTGGGTGAACATGATTATGGACACTCTTGGAGCATTAGCACTAGCAACTGAGCCACCTAATGAACAGTTACTGATGAAGCGGCCGCCTGTTGGGAGGGATGAACCTTTTATAACCAACATTATGTGGAGGAACATAATTGGTCACAGCATCTACCAGTTGGTTGCACTTGGAGTTCTCCAGTTTGGCGGCGAACATCTCCTAGGTCTCACTGGGCCTAATGCTACTAAAACTCTTAACACCTTCATATTCAACACCTTTGTTTTCTGTCAGGTAATAAAATTGGTTAATTTTTTTATCAGATATAAACTACATTACCCTGCAATTTCCATATAATGGCATGAAGCACCTTAAACATGTCTAGGTATAGTCGTATAGATCTGCCAATGTGCCAAGTTTGAGTCAGTCAATTTAATATTTCGGGTTTAATTTTAAGCAATTTTTTTGTACCAAGTTTTGGTAGGTCATCAAGATTTATGTTTATTTTAGGTCGTTTTTTTAAATCCTGCCAGCCCGGGTTTATGTTTATTAGAGTCATGTACAATTTCGGGTTATGAACAATTCATGTAATTTTTCATAGGTGGATTAGTCAATCTCAATTTTCATGCTTATGATGCATTGTTTTACTTATAACGGTCATTCCAGTTATAATAGGTCGGGTTTGGGTAAGGTCATTTTTCTAGTCTAACTTGCATTTGTGCCTCCATTGCACAAACATAACAACGTGTTAGAATGACTTGTGATCCTTTATAATTCATTTTGAATGACACATTGTTGTTTTCAGGTATTCAATGAAATCAATAGCAGGTACATGGAGAAGAAAAATATATTGAAGGGAATATTTAGAAACTGGATTTTCTCGGCTATCATATCCACCACAGTCATGTTTCAAGTGATAATCGTTGAGTTTCTAGGCACATTCGCAGACACAGTGCCACTTAACAGCAAGTTGTGGCTACTAAGTGTAGGAATTGGAGCAGTAAGCTTGCTGGTAGCTGTTTTGCTGAAATGTATCCCGGTCGACAACCTTGGGTATCCATCTAAGCACCATGATGGTTATGAAGCACTGCCTAGCGGTCCAGAACAAGCCTAAACTTGGACTAACACAAGAAGTTAAGCTTGCTTTTTTATTTGAAGAAACAATTTATAGGAGCATAACACTAGTTGATCTTAAATTGCACCATTATTGTGTTTTTCTCTGTTTTTTACTGTAATTGAAATCAGTTTTTTCTCCCTAGGATATCTGATGACTGATGTAACAGGTAGTTTAAGAATTCATCCTTATGTTGTTTATTATTTTTAACTTTTTTTTATTTACACTATGTTTGGATAACAATACTATTGTAACAACACTTGTAACAATAGTGAAGGAAAAGGGAGGGGAAGAAATAAGAGGGGAGGGAGAAGGCGACATTTCATTTTCCTTCCAAATCTCTCCAAAAAAGGAGGGATTTGGTTTATTAAAAGTGGAAGGAAAATGGATCTTTCCAATTCCTTCTTATATTAGATATCCAAACAAGGGAGGATGCATTTCTCCATTTTTCTTCTCTTCATTTCCCTCCATTTCTCTCTATCCAAACATATAGCGTTTAAACATTTTTATTAACATATGTAGTTTATCTTATTTAAATGTTTATAATTTTATTTATTTGTTATATTAATTACAAAACACTTTAGGTATGAAATACTGTAAAACCGTAGGTCACCTAAGTAAAAATATATGGAGTATGAATTTAAATTAATTTGAGCTTGTTTGTATTTTTTAAAAAAAAATTAATGAATCAATAAGGCCGTCAAAAGCTGGCACGGCACGATAACCTGACAGGAACCTGACACGAAATAAGCTGGTCTGGGTTAAGAATTCTTGACGGGAATCTGTTTTTGATTATTAGTTTAGTTAAATAGTACGTGAACAAATCTAAATAAAATTGAAAACTAATCAGCCTAGTCCTATCTAGAGTGTCTGCGCACTGGTTATTGCATCAGCACAGGCGGCTAGATAGAGCAATTGAGGAGTGGACTCTTTATCAGTATTTCTTGATTTCAATTTCAACAAGCAAGTTTTTTTTTTACTACTCTTTTTTATAATCTTCTTTTTCCCCCGGCCAGTTCTCTTCCCTTGCTCTGTGAATCATCAAACTTCAGCAGGCTTTTGTTTTCCTTAATTGGACTTAGTACTTAATTGAAGTAAACTTTTTTTTCAAGAATTATCTCCATCATATAGTTTTCCTAAACATATAATCCGTACTTAGTTTAGGAGCTGTTCAACCTAGTTTCTGAAACTATTTCTGTTGAAACTTATAGGTTTTGATGATGATGAACTTAAACTAAAGCAAACTCAACTAAAGGTTTACAAGTGTTTAGGTTAGGAGAAGTTGACCTTAGTGGTGGAAGAGTATCTCGTATTATGAAGACTTGAAGAAACCTTAGTAAAAAGTTAATCAATAGAAGAAGAGTTCTCTAACAAGAACTAAACTCCTTAACAAGAATGTTCCCTAACAGGAACTTGAAGGTTGTAAGCTGAAGACAGTAAGTTCCACAAGGAACTTAGGCTGCGAAGTTCCAGTTGAGAACTGGAGATCAAGTGACAGCATGAACTTGTTCCTCATCTGCGTGAAGCCCAAGTTATTCAGGATTACAGAAGCGTGGCATTGCAATATTAATTTAGTTAAGATTCTATCTTCTAGATTTATTGTTAAATATGTTAATAAGATATGCATGAAATTTATTAGAGACGTGACAAGATAATTTGGCAAATAGATAAAATTGGAAAAATATAAAAAGATAGATTTTTGAAAAAGAGTTTGTTTTAATTTATTTTCCAAAAATTAGTAAAACGATATTATTCTTTCAATTATATCTTATTCTGTTTTTCGGAAAGGATTCTCTTTAATAAAAAGATTTACCAAAATCATATTTTGAGATTAGGAAAGTTAACTTCTTTATCTTTAGAAAACCTACTTGCTATATGAGTTACACTTGTATAAATAGTAGAGACAGAATTGCTTAAGGTTTTTGTAAGTTTATACGTGAAGAAAATCTTGTGAGCTCTATCAAAGTGTAAGTTTTCCAAGCTTTATCTTGTCATATTAGTTTCGGGTTTTATGCACAGCTTGCCTAACATATTCTAGATATTGCGTTTTTGTAATTGATTGGACTGTTGGGTGTGAGTGTATGAAATTTACAATTGCATACAGGAGAAACAACCTTGTGATAAAAGGTTGTATTTGTACTGTGAGAGTACGAGTGAGTTCAAGTCAGGGGATTTGAATTGGGTAGGATTTAGTCTTACTGTGCTACAAGTTCTAGTTGGAACTTGTTTATAAAGGTATGAATTATAATAGGTTTGTAATTTTACTATTGCTCATTATAGTGGATTGGTTTTGTGTTGAAATCCCTTAGAAGGGTCGAGGTTTTACTTCCAGTTGGGTCCTGGAAGGTTTCCTTGTAAAATTGTGTGTGCACTGTCAAGTTCCTTTTACATTTTGTTTTAAATTTGCGAAAGTAGTCACTAGGAACTTAACTACAATTCATCCCCCCTCTTGTAGTGTTCGTTTCAACTAACAATTTCTCAATCTAAGAAGTACAAACTAGGCCAAATAAGAGAATTTAAAGAAACAAAAACACTCTTTTATAAAGCCCAAATAGCTTCTAGGGAAGGTAAAAGGAGAAGCATCAACTTGTAGCTTCTCTTGGTTATTTATTTATTTTATTTTTTGACAAAACTTCTCGTGGTTACTGTTTTTCAGGGAATTCTTTCTTCCTTTTAATGATTTCTTTTTGGACAAAAACAATCCCAATATTTTGCAAAATGACTTTTAATATCCATCTAAAAAAAACAATCTTCTTTCTCACAAACATTTCTGATACTTTATTCTCTCATAAAAAGAAACCCAACTCCATCTTCTACTTCTCCAAGGTCAAACGTCGCTGGCAAAATGCAAATCGGTCCTCCCAGACCACCGGTGCCACCTTTCTGTCCACCTAAGAGGAGACAACCAAGCAATTCTCATTCGTCATTGAGAAACGTTCTAAAGAAAAATTTGGTGTATTGAAAAAAGGATGAAGGATATTATCAATTATGCCCAATTCCCCGTTGGAAACATGCATAAAAGAACTTGTTTCACCTACTATGGCTATGCATAACTATATTAGAAGACATGTCGTACGTGCTTGAAGATTTGAAATTAAATTTGATAAATATGATGCAGATCCGTATTATACTCCCACCGTCTCCGAAAGAACGACACATTTGGGTTGATTTCGCGGGTATTAAGAAGCTTAATTTGCAAGTATAAATGTATGGGAGAACACAAGTCATCAATAATTTGCAAGTACAAAACACAAGAAAAATTAATGGTGGCAGGAGAGAGAAAAAAAGTTTAGAAGTTTAGAGAGGAGATGACACAAAAATCTGAAAAAATACAAGGGTAAAATAGAGAGAATGAGCTATATGACAAAAATATTTGAGGATATATTGGTAATTTTGTGATTTTAATAGATGTTAGGAAAAACAAATGGATCATTCTTTTGGGACTAAGGTGTTGTTTGGTTGATGTAGGAATTTAATTCCCATAGGAATTATACTTCATGGAAAGTTAATTTCTTAATGAAATTCTTAGGAATTTCTTAAATGTATTTGGTTGGCAATAAGGGAAATTAGAATTCCCATGAATTTTAGTTTACCTAGGGAGGGCTAGGTAATTTACTTCTCATGTTTTGTGGGAAGTTGAAATTCCCATGAATTCCCACTTTCCCCATTTTTGCTTTCTTATGTCAACCAAACAACTCCTCATTTTCTCAATTCCCATGAATTTTCAATTCCCCCATTTTAGAATGTCAAAAAACAAGGCCTAAAATTAGACCAAATGGGTCGTTCTTTCGAGGGACGGAGGGAGTATTACTAAAGTTGAAGGGGATGGGGAAATTGGAGGAAACTAATAACTATTCTAGGGATTGATGAATGAATTAAATGTGGAGTCTATTCGCTACAGTAATGCAACTTCCCTAATGAGTAGTGGATTGTAACATTATTAGATCTTTGTAAGGAATAATCATAATATCAGACATATTGAATCAATAAATGTGTAATAATATATGAACAATACATATAAAACTTTTGAATTTGAATATTCTATATTTTGAGCCACAATTTCTATTATTTTTATTTTTTTTAAATACCACAAGTCTTTTCACTCCTATTTTCTTAGCTTGTTTTCCAAGCCAAATTACACCATACATCACCAACAACATATTTCTACTCCACCCATTTTCTCAGCTTCTTCTTCAAGCCACACCACACATCACGAACAACCTTATTTTTACTCTACCCATCTCTCTCCTCTTTGCCAAATTGCTGCAATTAAAGCCCCAAATTGTAGAAATTGGGTGTCAAATTGCTGTGAAAACTTGCGATTAATTAACCTTAAGATCATCAAAAAAATTTGAAGTAGTGAAATTGATGAGAACGAGAGAAATGTGAGCTTGTTTTCTTCGTGAAATCTTAGATCGAACATTCTTCGTCAAAAATTCAGCAACAAAAACAATAGTAATATGAGTAGATTGTAGAATATTTGTAGGGTGCAACTGGTTTGGTTAGGGGTTACTTGTAGGGTGTTATTGGTTTGGTAAGGGGTTACTTATATGGTATTACTGGTTTTGGTCGGGGGTTACTTGTATGGTGTTACTGGTTTGGTATAGGGCCTACAAGTAACCTTTGAAAAGTAACTCATACAAGTAACCCCTAAAACAACTCATATATGTAACCCTTGAATAAGTAACTTATACAAGTAACCCTTGAATAAGTAACTTATACAAGTAACCCTTGAATAAGTAACTCTTGAATTAACCCATACAAGTAACCCCTGCATAAGTAATCCATACAAGTAATCCCTAAAAAAATACAAGTAACCCCTGAAAAATACAAGTAACCCCGGAATAAGTAATCCATACAAGTAACCCCTGAAAACTGAAAAATACAAGTAACCCCGGAATAAGTAATCGATACAAGTAACCTTGAAAACTGAAAAATACAAATAACCCCGGAATAAGTAATCCATACAAGTAACCCCTAGGGGTGAAACAAACTCGGTTTAAAACCAAACCAAATCGAAAACCAAAGCGAATAAGAAATTTGGTTCGGTTTTTTTCAAAAGTGGTTCGGTTTTGATTTTTTTTTAAAAAAAACATTGGGTGTGTGGTTCGGGTTTCGGTTTGCGAAAATGAAAAACCGAACCACACCGAAATATAGGCCCAAACTAAAAAAAACCCTAGCCCAACATTTTTTTTGCCCTTAGTATATATAGGAAAAAACCCTAATCCGTCCTCTCCTCTTCTCTGAGTTCCCCCTCTCTCTCCTCTTATCCGCCCTCTCTATCCTCTTCTCAGTCTCACTCTCTCTCCTTTCGTCTTCATCTCTTCTTTCTTCCGCCCTTTCTCCACTTTCACTCTCATCTCCTCTTTTCCCCACCATCAACTAAGGTTTCGAGGTTTTTCGAACTCCATAAGGGCATAAACTAAGGTTTTTCATTTCGAACACCATTAATTTAAGGGTTTTCATGTCAAATTCGACCATGAAAGCTCTAGATTTAGAGTTTTCATGGTCGAATTTGACCTTTGAAACCCAAAATCGACACTTTTTGGTGGAATGTTTGGACGTGAGGTATGTTCTCTTTTTATTTCGTTTAATTTGGTTTAAGTTTTGTTTTTCTACATTATTTTTATGGTGGTTTGTGATTGAATTGTGGTGGTGATAGGTAGTTTTGGCCTTTTGGGTCGATTTAGGGATGAAGGGTGGTGAAAAAGGTGGGTTGTGGTGGCGGTGCGTGCGGAACTGCGGATCTAGGTTAGGGGTGTGGTTTTGTTTGGTTCAATTTTGATTGGTGTGGTTCGGTTCAGTTCGGTTTTTTTTTGCTAAATTTGATGTTTATGTTCCTTGATAGGAAAATTCGGTGCGGTTTGTTTGTTTTTTTTTTTTTTTTTATAAAACTGAAATTTAGGTGGTTTGGTTTGGTTCGATTTCAAAATTAAAGTGGTGCGGTGTGGTTTCCAAAATCTAGAAACCGAAATATGGTGGTTCGGTTTCGGTTTGGGCAAAAAACCAAACCGAAAACCGAACTTTCACCCCTAATAACCCCTGAAAAAAATATAAGTAACCCCTGAAAAATACAAGTAGCCCTTGAATAAAAAATCCATACTTACAAGTAACCTTTGAAAAAAAAATACAAGTAACCCCGGAATAAGTAATCCATACAAGTAAACCATGAAAAAAAACAAAATACAAGTAATCCCTGAAAAATACAAGTAACCCTGACAAAATCGGTAACCCCGTTATGCGCGTGAATAGTAACCCCGTTATGCACGTCTGGGTATGTTATTTTCGCTGACTTGGCAGCAGGCCACACAATGTGGCCTGTTGCACCAAAAAAGCCCTGCATGCATTCATATTTTTCTCTTTCACAAACAAATTTTGCTTAGAAGTCCATGCGGCCTTTAAAATTGCAAATAATATGTAACGGAGGTAGTACATAAAATTGTTAGTGGTTATTGACATGATCAAAAAGCTGGTCTGGTGGCTAATTACCATGCATGGATTAAGAATAATACTACTCCCTCAATTTTGAATTAGTTGCAACACTTTTCATTTTCAATCATTTCATATCAATTGCAACACTACTATATTTGAAAATGGCCCACCATTATTATATAATTTCTCTCCCATAATCCACTTTTACAAATATTTTACTACCTCCATTAATGGTTATATGCCACTTTAAAAAATTTTATATCTCACAAATAGTACTCTAAAGTTGCAACTAACCGTTAACAGAGGCAATATTATTCTCTTTCCTACCAATCCCACCCACACTACTGAGCCTATAAGGCTAGTTTAAAATTTTCTTAAACTATGAGCCAAGCCTACTGTTGCAACTAATGCGAAACAAAGGGGGTAATTTATTTGGCAATTGTGATTTTGATCCGACAAAAATAAAGAAAAAACAAATATAGAAAAGACACTGATAAAAGTAGTTGATTAATAATGACATGATGATACACGTATAACGTATGTTACAGTGATGGGCTGCTTACATATAAGCAGATTTATTCAAATAAGCATATAACACACAAACGTACATGATAAAATAGAAACGATAAATAGATAAACTTCTTAATTAACATGACTTATTAAGCAACAAGAAGAGGATTAAAAGGTAGTAGGCGGGAAGAGAGAACAAAAGAAGGATTAGTATCACAATTGGGGGCTTCATTAGGGAATGCAATGAAGGGGAAAGGTGGACTATCACCTCTGTCAGAATAAAACTGAAAAAGCTTAAAGCCCAAGACATCGTAAACTTTGCCACCGGTTATGATCATGAGCCCTGTAGGGATCGGGGGAGGGATATTGCCCGAGAGATCGACAGTGACTCCCTTAACGTCGGCGAGTTTCCTATAAGATAAGGTCGCTGAAATCTGTTGTTTGCACGTCAGAACATTTTTGACGCCCCAAAGCTCCCTAGTCACCACACATTCGCCCGTCAAGTTAATTGATAACTTGATTGAGTTTTCGGTGATAAGATCGCAGCTGAAGCTCTGCACATTACTAGGGAAAATCGATGGTGGTAAATCATAGAGGTTTAAGATTTTAGGGATTGAAGAAGCAGGGCATTTGGCTTGGGCGGAGGACAGTGTTAGAGTAAGAGTAAGTGCGAGGAGTGTGAGGGAGATAGTGGTTGTTTTTGGTGACATTTTCGTTATTTGTTGAGACTTGGATAAATGTGTATTTGTTAGATTGGTGTTGGAGCATGCACTTCATGTTACTCTATTTATAGATTTGAAGGTTTGCCTCAAAAATCAGAAGTTTAAGTTTTTTTTTTTTGTCCTTTAACATGTTGTGGGTTGAGGCTTATGATTGATTTATAAATTCTATTACGTTTTCTCGCACACATTGCTGAAAGATGTAGCCTTTTCAAAGAGGCAGTTTAATGAATTGTTGTAGCCGTAAAGATGATTATTATATGATTTACTTGAAAGCATTTGAGAATTCGACAACCGTAGCGATTTCGAACAAATGTTTTCTAACAGACTGATAATAAGGCAAAAGTAGGTGATTACTTTTTTTATAAGCTCTGATACACAACTAAACCCTAACAAAAATCAAACAACTAAACCAACAAAAACTGACTACAAAATAGGAAGACGATGAATATCTACCCTACTCGTGTAGTTTTATTGAAACCTAAAATGCGATGTTATAGAAAATTAAGATTTAAGAGTCTTTTTTTTTGGGCTAAACTTTATCAAAATTATAATAATAAAAAAATATATTATGATAATAGATTACATAAAAAAAAACCCAACAAATTGAACTTATACAATATTATCGTGTAAAACAATATTTATATTATTCTTATTTAATACACTTATTAAATGGATTTATCTTAGTTTATTTCGTCTAATTATGGTAGAAATTTCAATTATTAATGGATACACTGTATGCCCTATATAATAGAGACGGACCCTTGGCCGGTAGGTCTTGACACATGGTTAGAATTCTAGCATTTCCAAAGTGGTATCTTAGTTATGGCTTGAGCATCCCTTCGAGGGGGCATTCTTCGCCTTCCACCTAAGTTGCGCGGGAAATGCCCAAAGCTAATCTCAGGTAACAACATAACTTGGTCATAGGGTCTTTTTGTCCAGGTGCAGGTAGCACACATCTTCACAAACATGTCACCTTACTCGACAAGAAATTTTGCTAACTTAAGACCGTTATAGTTAGGGTGGCCATCCACCGGGGCTTCTGTCACCGGCTCCCTTGTCATCAAGTCATTAACTTCATTCCTCGACCTACATCGCATTTATTTTTTATTCTCAAACAATGCATTTCATAGTCATATATATAGGATATCTCAATACTCTCTCTGTCCCCTTTTGATAATCCCTTATGGACATTTTTTCACGGAAATTAATAAACACAAAAAAGAATAGTTAAAGTACATTTAAAAAGTAAATTGACATTGGGTATGCAAAAAAGTAGAGAGAGAAAGTAATAAAAGTACATGGGAAAACAAAATTTACATGGAAAAGTTAAATTTGCACAAATATTGTTGCAAATTAGAGGGAATTTTAGTAAAAGAAATTAATGAGAAAATTGTGAATAATGTCCTTTTAAGTGGTCGACTTTTTGAAAAATGATCTTTTAAGTGAAAACATGTGAAAAAGGACCTTTTAAGTTTTATTTTGTTTATATGGGGTACTTGGGCGAGCTTGCGACCTTACGTGGTGGTCAATGCCGGAGCTCCGACATTGACTATCACGTGACTTTTTTTTTCTAAAAAAAATCCCAAATTTCCCTCCTTTCCCGACCTAATCAATGAAAGAGTTAGGTCGGGAAAGGAGGGAAATTTGGGGATTTTTTTTGTTTAAAAAAAAAAAAAGTCACGTGACTAACACGTGATAGTCAATGCCAAAGCTCCAGCATTGACCACCACGGAAGGTCACCCAAGTACCCCATACAAACAAAATGCAACTTAAAAGGTCCTTTTTCACAAAGTTTTAACTTAAAAGGTCATTTTTCAAAAAGTCGACCACTTAAAAGGTCATTTTTCACAATTTTCTCAAAATTAATATTAATAGAATAATAGTTGTTCGAAAAGGCAAATGGGGTGAATATTTTGGGACTAAAATTTGTCCATAAGAGACTATCAAAAGGGGATGAAGGGAGTATAAATCCGCGTTTAGAAGCAACATTGCAAGTAGGTATAGGACGAATCTCAATATCAATTGTTGTTTGGCACCAATATTACAATTTTTAAGATATCTGAATATCTGATAGATTATGAAAAATAATCACAGAATATTGTATATCTTTGGAATACAGAGACAGATTAATATACTCAAGTACGTACAATATTATAATAATTTATCTACAGATTATTTGACTTTATAATATGGTAAGAAAATTATGTATCTAAAAAATACACTCATGCGGGAGTAATAATTATAAAGATGGTTTACAGATATGTAAAACGTAATTTCAATATTCATTATGCACCAATGAACCAACTACATATGATATTCACAAATTACAAAAATAAAGATGGTTTATTCAGTTATACATATATATATATATATATATATATATATATATATATATATATATATATATATATATATATATATATATATATATATATATATATATATATAAATGATTCTCTTAAGTTGAATGCATTTCACATCACTAGTGTGAATATGATTACAAAAACACCTTTTAAACATGGACTCTTGATTTATGTTACGTACAGAGTAGTAGTTGGTATGTCAAATAGGTTTACGATGAGAGATGGAGAAAGTTGCATGGTTATTCAAAACAATTTACGAAAAAAACGACACTTTGATAACAAAAAGGACAGAAAAAACATGTGAACGTGGTGTGCTGTTGTCAAGCTAATAATTTCCTCGTGTTCTAGGATTACATATTGTCCTTGGAAGCCCAAATAAATAAATAATGCGTGAATTACCTATTTTCTAGTCATGTCTAGGATAACTTCTGATTTTTAATCATTATTTTACTAGGAAAGTCATGTATATGTACAATGACTTTGAATCTAAAAATTCTATAGTCGTCGTTTGAAATATGACTATCATAATATTTTAATGATTATATAGTTTATAATTAACATATTTTTTCTAAGTAATTAATTATATTACTTTATTTTTTCTATAAAATATTATTATCAATATTTTTTTTAATTTATCAAATTTTTAGTTTTATTTATGTAATTTTTATTCTTATTTTATAGTTTCTCGAAAAATATTTATTTATGTTGGATTAAAATTTCAAAAATTATATTTGCATTGTAGAAATTAGAATACTAATTGTGTCCAATTTATAGTGTGAAAAAATGGATCACTCATATTGTTTATTATTAAAATAATATGGTAGTCATATTTTAAACGACCGTTGTAGAAACATCTGAATGTTTCTATAATATCATTTTGACTACTACTATATTCAATTTTAATTGGTTAACTATTTATTGGCCCAGGCGATGCCCCGGATCACTTTAAATGTGAAAGATTGATCAAAATTAAATTTAGAAGTTCGGTGTTCAACAATCTTTATAAATAAATAAAAATGTAATAATAAATTTTAGATTAATAGGAGGCTAGTTTTTATTCATTTAAATTTACATAACAAAATAATAACTTATGTAAATATAATTGTATGTTAAGGTATTGTGTCGTCAGTTCAGACTGACAAAATGCAGATTTTTGATATCCTTAATTGGCGAAATGATATCCTCTATTGTCTGGATGATATCGTCTATTAGCTGGATGATATCCTTTATTGGTTGGATGATATTTCTAATAATTAGATGATATCCTCTATTGGCTGGATGATATCCTTTATTGGTTGGAGATATTTCTACTAGCTAGATAATATCCTCTATTAGCTGGATAATATCCTCTATTGGCTTGAGTTTATCCTTTATTGGCTATATGATGATATCCTTTATTGGTCGGATGATATTTTTACTAGCCGGAGGATATCCTATATTGGTTAGATGATATCCTCTATTAGCTATATGATATCAAGGTTGGATGATATTACACTACTAAATATTGGCCAAATTGCGACCGCCGCAAACGGTCACAAAAAATAGTGAAAACAGACGCAAAACATAATTGCGACTGTCAACGGTCGTAACATGGTGGTCGTTGTTCTCTTGGTCGTAAAAAAAAAATATTACGATCGTTTGACAGTCGTAGATTTTTAATGGTCGTTTTAACTATTTTCAATAACCGTTAAAAAACGGTCGCAAATATTAAAAATTGCGACCGCCTTATGAAACGGTCGCAAATATTGAAATTAGCGACCATCATAAGCAGTCGCTAAAAGTATTTAAAAACAAAAAAAAAAAGAAAGAGACCCACCCACCCACCCTTAACCTGTTCCACCCAAACCACCACCACTGCCCACCCTAAACAACGTACCACTAGCGGCCGCTGCCCTCTACCCACCATCACCTTCGCCCAACTTCAACCACCAATACCCACCACCACCTACCCACCCACCCTTAACCCAGAAAAACATTAAAAAATCCCCAAGATAATTTCGAACAAAAAGCAAACAAAAACGAAATAAAAATAATCAAACAATTTCGAACAAAAATAAAAAAAAACAACATAATTCGAACAAATATATCAAAACAATTTAACTCACAAATAAAATGCACAAAAATTAAACCAAAAAACGAATAAAAATTAAATAAAAAAAAATCTCCCAAAAATTCAACCCAATAATTATTCCCCAAAAAAATAAAATGTTGCCCTTGATGTTTTGATGATAACACAAGTCAAATAAGTGGACTAATGTTTTGATAAGTCTTGCAGTTTATTTCTATTAAGTTGCAGGATTGGCTCAAGGCAAGGGAACAAGAACTAGAAGAATAAAAGATCGGTAGCAGAGTTCTTGTGAAGGAACTAAAGCTTCGGAGCAGAAGCTAAGGAAAGAAGACTCGGAGCACAGGCTTCTTAGAGAAAATAAAGTCTGGAATATTTTTATATTTTAGGTTTTATGTAAGTAAAGTTAATTGGGAATTAACACTTAGTGGAATGCATTTGAAAAGATAAGATTTTATTTGCTTGCTGAAAAATAGGAAAGTTTGTTTGGAAAAATATCTTTTCTGATTTTATATTTTAAGTTAAAATCTTTTCCGATTTTATCTTTTAATTTAATAGTTTTGTTTTCAGAAAAATATCTTTGTAAAACTAATTACCTAAACTTATGCAATTAACTGTTGATTTAGTCCTCACCACTTGCGTATAAGCTGTTTCCTTAAGGATCAACGTG